ACTGGTTATGGTGGTTGTGATGGTGGTAGCAGTAATGATAACTGCTGTGTATTCAGTGCCTTTATAAATGTGCTTTACAAATGACTTATTTGATTTCTGACAATGGAATAATGATAATAACAACAGAGGGTAACATTTATTGAAGGAGAATTCATTCTAGGGATTGTGCTAGATGCTTTAAGTGTATTGTTTCATTTAATTTTCACAATATCCGTATGAGCCAAGTACTNTGTGGCAAGGGCCTGTGCAAATGGCTATTTGAAATCGCTATTCTATCTTCCCCATTTCAACCTACTTGCGCTGTTTCCTGTCAAGATACATTTTTAGCAAAACCCCAAAGATACCCAGAGCTTCTGAGGTACCCCTCTGTACCTGAGCTTCTCTCCCTATACTATGAAACAGTGCTGTCTACCCCACTATGGTCTCACAAGTATAACTTAGCACTAAGTGCCCAGTACTATGTTTCATGCAATGGAAAGACTTGAAAAAAACGGAAAATCTGTTGATGATACATATCCTTGAAAGTTGCCTAAAGTGCTCACACTCCACCAAGTTGCCCTGGAGAAGAAGAAGGTTGAGAGGCAGGAAGACATAGACTCAGGTTGGGCTCGAGGCCCTGAAGTCAGGATTTTCACTCCATCCTTTGGCTTTACCTCTTCTACTGCAGAAACAACACTGGCCCAAGGCGAGGAAGTAGACTCGCTGGGCTGAGTCTTCATGTCTGGGCCTACAGTGCTCAGCTTAGGGCCTGGCTCTCCCCCAGCCCCACCCCACTGTTTGTTCCCCACACCATCAGGGATCAGGTCCCAGAGAGTCGGTTTGCCAATCAGTAAGTGATCCAAGTTCCAACGTGAGTTTAAAATCAACAAGTGCAAGATCAAAGTACCCAGCTATCCAATCAGCAGTGTGATTACATCCTCTGAATCTATGAAAAAGAGTCATGTTGACCACTTCCTGGAGGTTATGGGGGCCCCTGGGCAGCCCCCAAATGGAAATTCAGCTTAAGTGACCTTTACAAATTGCCACTTGTGCCTACAGGCTGGACAGATGGTGTGGGGCCCCTGGGGTGAGTGATGGTCCAATGCCTTCAATGAAGCTGTTCCATTGATCATAGTCCTCTTTCAGGTCTGAATGGGAAAAAAAATAGGAAGGTTAGACAAATCATTGTAAGGGTAAGTCAAAGAGTAGCCAGCATGGATTTAATGGGTCATCCTAGAGAGGGGCACCTGGGATACCAAGAGCACTGGTTATGGTGGTTGTGATGGTGGTAGCAGTAATGATAACTGCTGTGTATTCAGTGCCT